TTCACCTCATTCAGTCTAATACTGCACAGGACGGCTGTGCTGCACCTGTGTCTGGGGCAGGACTTCTGCATCCCAAGGGATGGGGATCACAAAGCAGTTCGATCTCTGCAGACTGGCTGATGGCGGCGATTATAACGTGAGCCCCCAGACCCGCAACAGAGCCAAGAAGATGACAGGCCCCACCCTCGCTCTCAAAGACAGCTGTGAAAGAAAGGTCTCTACTCTTTTCACTAGCAGTCCGTGTATTCGCTGTAAGACTGAAATGAATAAACCAGACTTAAGGATTAACAATAGTCTGTGAACGGAACAACAGGATAGCAACCCCTGTTTGTTTCTTGGCCAACATGCGAGTTTGGCGTGAGATCTGAAACCAAAAACAGCAGAGCGGGGAAGCCTCTGATGAAGGAGCAGTTTACAATCTGGCATCCTGAAAAAAAACCTCTTTCAGCTGACGTTTTCTGCCAACTGAAAACAAAGAAGAATAGGCAAAACAAATAGGAAGAATAGATAAGAGATAAAAAGCTATCCATCCAGGCCTCCATCATAATGTGCCTCGTTGTACAGATCAGTGGAGTTTTTATAAGGATAATCAATTACATTTATAAATCTTTTTCACTTGATTTTATAAAGATTTGATTTTCTTTGTCATAGAAAAATACATTTTTTTTTTTTTTACGCTGCTTGTAAGAAGACTGAGAGGAATGAAAGCTGTGGTCTTGGGATGGAGGCTCAGGTGATTAGGCTTGTTCATGTTGATTAGATATCAAAACTTTGATCTCCAGAAACTGACACGCGGGGTACCAGCCAAAAGTTTAGCTATACCCATTCAAAACCATAATCCTAAGGTCATACATAGTGGATGGAGTGTCATGGTTTGCAGCTGCTTTGCAGGTGAACAAGATCATTATCTTTGCAAATCTACAGCAAACTCAACCAGCATGGGTATCATGGAAAATTAGAAATGTATGTCATTCCCTTAAGGTCATAGCTGTTTGGGTACTCACTAATTCTTCAGTGAAAGAATGACCCAAATACCTACTCCAAATTGTGCTGCAACTATCTGGCAAAGAAGTAAAGGACAACTCAAACTAATGACCTGGCTAGCCCACTCTCCAAAGCTCAGTACCACAAAGGCACAAAGAGTCAGAGCAAAATAAACCACATGCAGGCAACAACTGTTAGAACCTCTGCAGAAGAGCTGGGAAGATATGCCGGGAGATTTTCCTCTGAAATCAAGGCAAATGGATACACACACACACACACACACACACACACACACACATTATTTTTTTATGAATATCGACGCTGATCCAAACCTATTTCACAGATTGGGTATTGGCTACACATGACTGATCCACGCCCGATACTTACTTATTTAGTTTTTGGCAGTCTCTAAAAAGTCCCTATTTCGTGTTAAATCTGTCTTTTTTCATTATTGCTGCTGTTTCTCAAAGAATTTCCCCATTGTGGGATTAATAAAGTCTAATCTAATCTAATCTAATCTAAATACAATCAATCACACGACAGCTCATTCTCATTTTATGTGTTTTTGCGGCATTCAAGCTTAGCTCTAATGCTGCCACTGAGTTTTTTTGTTACACAGTGAGTGTGAGTGCAGTGACATCCGCCTGCATTGACGTCATGCGCATACCCTTCACAGTAGGGAACATGTAAGTAAATCAGATAAAAGGGTGATGATCTTCAAGTACAGTGGTATCTCAGTTCTCAAACTCATTAGAACTCGAATTTCTTAAAAGTCGAACCAACCAGTTCTAAAAAAAATTACCTAGAGCTCGATCTGAATCTCAGAAGTCAAACCATGAACGCCGACCTAAGATAACTTGTACGCGCGGGGAAATAAGTCACGCGGCACGTCTCTCAGCGGAAACAAAGGGTAAAGCTTCAGTCTCAGCCTCGCATTAGCTGTGATAGCACCGTGCATGTTTACACCAACTGAATACATATATTTAGACAGTAAAAATACATTTAGACAATGATAGTAACAGTAATTATTATTATTTAATAAAATACATTTAAAAATAAAGACTTCAGAAAGGGAAATTCCTTAAGATATGGAAGAAATGGACTGATTATGTTTCGTCTATGTAGTCTAATTTGTCTGCCTGAGATTCCCCTTTTACACATATAGATATATTGTAGTTTATTTTGTTTGTTTTTTCCTTTTTTTTTTTTGTTTGTTTGGTTCATTCTTAAAAAGGAAAAACTGGTCTTGGTAAAGTTCAATTTCATTAGCGATTCTATTAGTTACAGTGTGTGGGTAAAAACATGCAACTGCAATGTTTCTAAGATTTAAGATTGCACCTCTGTAAAACCAAATGACCAAAATAAAAATGTAAATGGAAAAAAAAAATAATAATAAAATAAATAAAAATAAAGATTAATTACTGGTAAGGCCGGCAAAACGCAGACGGACAATACAATGACCGGACTGGGGAAACAAACAAACGCGGACTAAATACAGAGGACTAATGACAAAAACCAGAAACAGTTGATCACACGGGGATTCCACACGGGGTTAACGAGGGAGCGTGGCACATGGAAGGAGCGGACGATCGGGGCAGGACACATTGTTTGGATACATTTATTTTCTTACTTTACAAATTACCTGTTTTGATAAATGTGCTTAGATGTGTTTAGCACAGTATATGCTCTTGTTTTATTCGGTTCATTTTGTGTTTAAATGCTAAAAAAAAAAAAATATTTAGATGTAATTTTTGGGGCCGGGAACCAATTAATTGGTTTTCCCATTATTTATTACAGGGAAAATTCGTTCACAACTCGAATTTTTTAGGATTCGGTCCGGAGTTCTGAACAGATTAAATTCGAGTTCTGAGGTACCACTGTATTTTACGCTTTTAAAAAGCAACTAGTAGCAGAGCAATTTGCAATCTTTGTAAAATCCCACTAAACAAAGTGCACATGATTGTGCAAGACAGCACAACTAATATGAAACAAGCAATGGATGATTTGGGATTCGCTAGCTTGGGCTGTTTTGTGCATGCGCTACAGATTGTGATACAGGAGGGGTTGCTATTGCAATGAAATGTAGGTGACGCTGTTGCCAGTGGGAGAAAAACTGTGGGGCAATTTAAGCGTTTGTCACTTGTGTAAACTCGTTTGGAAGATATAATGAACTGCAAATGCCTCAAAAATGCTTAAAACAAGATGTACAAACAAGGTGGAACAGTACGTTGGGTATGTTTCTAGTAGTGTATGTATATATACACTCACCTAAAGGATTATTAGGAACACCTGTTAAATTTCTCATTAATGCAATTATCTAATCAACCAATCACATGGCAGTTGCTTCAATGCATTTAGGGGTGTGGTCCTGGGCAAGACAATCTCCTGAA